GTCCAACTAAAAAATAAAAAAAAAAAAAAAACAAGGACTGGGGAGGGTTGGAGTTGTGGCTCAGCAGTAGAGCATTCCTCTAGCACATGCAAGGCGCTGGATCCAATCCTCAGCACCACATATAAATAAATAAATATAATAAAGGTATTGTGTATAACTTTTTTTTTTTTTTTTTTTTTAGAAAAGGACTGGGGATCTGACTCAGTTTGGTAAGCACCACAGGATCAATACTGGGTATCAAAAAACAAAACAAAACAAAACAAAAAAGAATGGCACAAACTCATTCATACCTTTATATTTCATTCGCTGATTCTGTGTTGGACAGAAATTTTTTTCTAATTTGGACGACTTATTTTTATTATTTATTTTATTTTTTAACACAAATGCACAACTTTTAATTTCTATTGTTGTACATGACCAGGTAATGTTTTAATAAACTTATTTCAATAAAATTTACTATTGAAGTGCCATTTCTTGTTTTTAAAATATGTTTTTTAGTTGTAGATGTACACAATACCTTTATTTAGTATTTCTTTTTATTTGGTGCTGGGATCGAACTTACTATCTCAGGCCATGCGTGCCAGGCAAGCACTCTACCACTAAGCCACAACCCCAGCCCCTCCATTTATTTTTAAAATGCAGTTATGGGGGCTGGGGATGTGGCTCAAGCGGTAGCACGCTCGCCTGGCATGCGTGCGGCCCGGGTTCCATCCTCAGCACCACAAACCAACAAAGATGTTGTGTCTGCCGAAAACTAAGAAATAAATATTAAAATTCTCTCTCTTAAAAAAAATGCACTTATGGGAAGATATTCAGGTACCTCATGTTCTGATTACATAGTGCTGGTGTGTAGGAACAAAATTAAGTAAGTTATGTAGGACTGTAACTAATCGCTCAAATAAGCATGGTGACCATCCACGTTCTCAGGAAAAACAGGTATGAAAGCAAAATGGGTTTGGTGATGTGGATACTGCGCTGCAGACTCTATGGCCGCTGGTGCCCATCTGGGAATGGCCTCACTGTGGCCAGGTGCTCTCCCAGGGCAGCCCCTCGGGTGACTCAGTGTGAGGCCTCTGTCCACTGTCTTCATCTCCGTGGGTCCATTTGATAGCTCTCCTGTGGACTTGCTGCCTTCGGAAGCTGCATGAGCAGCAGGTTCTAGAGCTGTGGCTGAGTGGCTCCTGTCACCTTGAGGCTCCTGGTTCTGGGGGTAATGTGGCCCTGAGAGCCAGTGGGCAGCACTGGGCACTGATAGAGACCCATGCAAGGACCAGGTGTGTGCAGCGGAGAGGATGCTGTAGGACGCTGGCGATCAGACTTGCCCCAGTTCACAGGGAATGGTTGGGTCACCCTGGGGCCACTGAGCTCAGTTTCTACCTCTTGCAAGTCCAGGGGCCTCGTTTTAGTTCTTCATCATGCTGTGCTGCACTTGAAACTATTGTTTCTTGCTGTGCTTTGAATGATGTCAACTGCTCCAAAATTCATGTTGAAACTTAGTCCTCAAGGTGACAGTATTGAGCGGTGCGGCTTGGGCAGGTACTTAATGACATCAGCGCCCTTACAGAGGGCAGTGAGTGGCAGGGTCCCTCCACCCCATGCATACACCTGTGCTTGTCGTCTGGAGGACACAGCAAGGCCTCTTGGAAGTGCAAATGTGGTCCTCACCAGACAGCAAATCTGTCTGCACCTCCGTCTTGGATTTCCAACCTCCAGAACTGTGAGAAATAGTTTCCAGTTTTTATGAATGACCCAGTCTGTGGGTTTTTGTTTGCTGTGAGACAGGATCTTGGACTCCTGGTCCTCCTACCTCAGCCTGAGCAGCTGGGATGTTTTAATAAATGGTAATGTTTTAACCACCTCCTCTGGCTCTCGTATTTTGTTATAGTGGCACAGACAGGCTAAGATACTTTTTTTTTTTTTTTTTTGGCAGTACTGGGGCTTGAGCTCAGAAGCACTTTACCCCTGAGCTACTTCCCCAGCCCCCTTTTAAAAATTTATCTTGACATAGGGTCTCCCTAAATTCCCAAAGCTGCGTCAAAATTTTGATCCTCTTGCCTCAGCCTGTGAGTACCTGGGACTATCGGTGTGTACCACTGTGCTTGGCCTTTTGTTTTTTAAATCTTTCAAACATGCATGACTCAAGTTTTGTGTCACAGGTTAGATTCCTGAAAACTTTTTTAAAAATATATTTTTAGTTATAGTGGACACAATACCTTTATTTTATGTGTATATTTTTATGTGGTGCTGAGGATTGAACCCAGTGCTTCACACATACTAGGCAAGAGCTCTACCACTGAGCCACAATCCCAGCCCTCTGGAAACAGACTTTTAAAAATTTTTTTAAATTAGAGTTTTATGGTTATACATGTTAGTTGGGTTTACCCTGAGAAACTCATGTGCATGAAAACTGATTTCAGTTCATAAGCCCCCTTTGCCCTCCTGTCCCCTGCTTCTCTTTTCTAGATTTGTTTTTAGCTCATCTATTAATCTGTATTTGATTGGTTCCTTATGTAACCTCCTCCTTCCTTCCCTCTTTCCTTTATTTTTGGAAACAGACTTTTGAAACAGATGATGTGCAGGAAGAACTAGGGGTTACCCTTGGGTTCAGTGCCGGTCAGGGGAGCATGCTGCACAGAGGGAAAGGGGAGCCAGCTGATGCCTCAGGGGTCCTGGTGGCTGGACTTTCATACTCTACACCAATCTTGGCTGATGTGGCAGCCTCCTGGGAAGTCTGGCCAGGTGGCTGTCCTCAGCTGATGGCAAGACCCAGAAGATTCTCTGCAGCCTCGGTTATCTGCCTGCATGCCTGCTCCCCTCCACCACTCTAGAGGCTTCCATGGCTCAGCGACCCAGACCTCGTCCCCAGCTTCTGGATCCCTGTGGTGGTCCAAACGAGCCCTCAACTTGAAGTCGGAAGGAGCAGCGGTGCCACCAGAAACTCCAGGGATGCACTTGCCCAGCACCTTCTCCAGCACAAGTCCCTTCTGGACTCCATTTTCACCTTGGCTGACCAACTGCTGGGACCCCCACCCCCACCCCCAGCTGGCCAAGTTCTCCCAAGGTCTCAGTTCAAACCTCAAGTGGTCTTCATTTTCTGCTTCATTTCTTTTGCTTTTTATTTGAAGATCATTTCATGCTTACAGAATAACTAACATACCCATTTCCAGATCCAGATATTGGTATTTTGCCCCCATTGTTGTTATCACTGATTGTAGATGATAACATGTTTTTTTTTTTTTAATTTTTATGTGGTGCTGGGGATCGAACCCAGTGCCTCATGCGTGCTCAGCAAGCAGTCTACCACTGAGCCACAACCCCAGCCCTAAGAACATGCTTTTCTGAACCATTTGGGAATAAGTTGCATATACTCTAAATAGGTCGGTGTAAATTTTTTTTTTTTTTTTGTACAGAGGATTGAACTCAAGAGCACTTAACCCCTGAGGCAAATCCCCAGACCTTTTTTGTATTTTATTTAGAGAAAGATTCTGAGTTGCTAAGTGCCTCTCTAAGTTGCTGAGGCTGGCTTTGAACTCTGGATCCTCCTGCCTCAATTTTCCAAGCCACTGGGATTACAGGCGTGTGCCCCTCGCCCAGAATCAGTGTGAATTTTTAAGTAAGAATGTTCTCCTACAGAAACACAGAACTGCCATTGATTTCGGTAAACTTCACGTTGATCCAACCCTTTCATCTACTCCTGTGAACACACCCAACGACGTCTGTTGTGTCACTCTCTGCTCCTCTGCTGGGTCCGGGTCCAGGCTCAGCCACGGCTTATCTTCTCTGGCACGAACAGCTTTGAAAACGCAGTTCCTCGCCACTTGGGTAGAATGTTCATATTTCGGCTTTGCCTGCAATTTCCTCCAGATAGACACAGGTTCTGCGTTCCACCGGGTGCAGGAGGTGGTGTCCTCCTCAGGGCATCATACCCAGGGGCACAGGATGTCCATCTGCCCTTCACGAGTGATGTTCCCGCGTATCACCTGACAACAGGTGGCCACATTTCTCCACTGAAACTAATGGGCCGCCCCAACGACTTTCCGACCTTGAAAACACCCTCTCTGCACCGCCACTCCTTTGGCTCCCCGGGCCACTCCCGCACCTGTCCACTGATCTCCAGCCTCACTGGGTCGCCCCAGCGCCCGGAGCAAGGCCGCGCAGGGCCTGCGCTGAGCTCGCTGGGCGCGTCAACTAACGGACCCCAACGGCCTCCCGAGACGTCCGGAGCGCGGGGAGAGCCCCGGCGCGAATGACGTCAGCGCACGGAGGAGCGGGCGCGGCGGCGCAGGGCCCTCGGGGCGGTTCCCCATCTCGGCGGCAGGCGCGGGGGTCCCTGAGCCGCTCCGGCACGACCCGGGAACGGACAGAGCCCCTCGCACCTGTCGGGCGGAGCTGGCCTCCAGTCCCGGCCTCCGCCGCGCATGGCGTGACCGACCCCGCCCGCCTCGGGCGCCCGAGGGTGCGGGGACGCGACACTGACAGAACCGCGACGCCCGCTGCCCGCTCGCCAGGCCCGCGCACCTACTACGCGCTGCCCCGCCCCGGCCCCGCCCACCAGGGCTTCGGCCAATGAGCGCGCGGCCCCTCATCCGGGGATCCCGGCGCGGCCACCGCCTCCCGCGCACACACGGCCATGGCGGAGGTGAGTGAGCGGGCCGGGGGAGCCGGCCCCCCGCCCGCGCCCGCGCCCCCCGCCGCCGCCGTGGTGAGCTCTAGGGGCCCGGGGTTGAAGCCGCTCGCCGGGAGCTGTGGGGCCGGCCGGGGCGCCCGCCCTCTCGGGGCCCGGGGGCGCGGGTTTTCGTCGGCGGCCGCCCCCGGCCCGGCGCCCCCGCCCCCCCCCCGCGCGTTGCCACATCGAGGGCTGAGGCGCGCATGCGCGGGCGCGGGGGGCGCGGCGGGCGGGGGCGAGCTCTCCCGGCGCGCGCGCCAACTTTGCGGAGCGCCGGGGCGGTGGCGTCCGGCGGGACCGCGCGGCCCCACTGCGGACCCGCGGGAGGCGGCGTGGGCTGCTGGGCTGACCACCGGGTTGAGCTGGTCGGCCGCTCCCTCATGGAGTTACTTCTCGGAAGACCTTGGGCCGGCAGTGTTTAGAATGCTCTCAGCTTCGACTTGAGAACTCGAGGGCTTTGGGGCTGTGATGTTGGATCAGACTCAACCGGCACTGCCCAGAACAACTCCCTGGGAACGGAAACTTTGGTGTTTGGGGCTTGCTTGGCCCGGGGATGGCGCACGGGACAATGTAGATTCGCTTTCACCGCTCAGGTACAGCGGGGAGGGAGAAAGGGGATGCGTGTCAGGTGCAGCCTCTGTAAGGCTGCGTAAATGGGGCTCCGGGCGCGTTGCCGCTGTGTGCCTGCGGCCTGTCGGGCTCTGTTCCTGCGGAAATTAAAAGGGACCCACAAACCTCGGGACTGACTCCGTGTCAGGCGTGGAGCTCCTGAATCCCAGACAGGAGAAGGCACCCACCCCAAGAGGCGCAGCAGGCCTGGGAGCTGGGACTGGCACTCTGGCTGAGTGTTTATGCCTTGGCTTAACATGTGTAGGCGTTGTGGAGGGTGGGACTGGCCATTCTTTCCCATTTGTGGCCTTCTCAGAGCAGCAACAAGCTCTGTGTTTGTGCCAGAGAGACAGTAGTTGTCTGGGTGCCTGGCTGGACCAGCTCATGAGGTTTTGGCACTGTGAATTAAAGATAGAAGTTGAACCTTATGAAATGGCTAGTATTCAGCTGTTTTTAACCCATAAAAGCAGCTTGGGGTGGAGCCCTGTAGAGTGCCTCTGATTTGATGTTCTGAGGCCACAGCCTGTGTAGGCCGTCGCCAGTGCTATGCCGTAGGGTTCCCACAGTGCGTAGAACAGATGGGGCCTGTCTAGAAACTGGTTAGAGGCGCTCATCAATGAAGGACTAAAACACATGTAGATGCTGATCTTGTAGGGCCCCGGCCAGCCTCCGTCCTGGAGGCCTTATCTGGCCCTGGAGCCTTGCAGAAGGACTGTCTCTAGATTGGGAAGTTGATGTTGACCTCCCAATCTAAGAAAGCTCATGAGGTTTTGGCACTGTGAATTAAAGATGGAAGTTGAACCTTATGAAATGGCTAGTATTCAGCTGTTTTTAACCCATAAAAGTAGCCATTTGTAACTTCATGGTGGTTGGTTAGTATTAGCTGCTTTGATCTGCTTAATCGTTGTTTTTTTGTCTCAAAATAATCATCAGCACCCAGTGAAAGACAGGAACATTCCATCCTGTTCTTGTTGGTACTAGATTAATCTTTTTAACCTAATGTGCCAGCTTTCACTCCTTTGCAGACCCTCTGTGGCTTTTCACTGCCCTTATCATCTCTTATGATCAGCTACCCTGTGGTGTGGCCCCTGTGACCCCTGCAGCCCATGGCTCCTTTGGTTTCTGGTGTGCTCTGTGGACTGTGGGGCTGCCTGGAACTGTTCTGCATTCTGGTCCCTGCTGGAGAGAACTTCAGAGCTGTCCCTGATCCTCAGTTACACAGCCCCATCCTGTCTTCATTCTGTGCCCTCATTTCTCTCTCCATGCTGTGTGAATTCACAGCTCATTAGGTGTGCCCGGACTAGACTGGCAACTCCATGTGGGTGGAGACAGGCAGAACCTGCTCCTCAGGTGGGCCCAGAGCAAATGCTGAGATGGAGGAGTAAGATGAGGGCTGTCAAGGGGACACCCGATGCCTGGGCTGGGCATGGGTGGTGAGGTCGATGCCTGGGCTGGGCATGGGTGGTGAGGTCAGTGAGGACTCCAGAGGACTCTGTTGTTAACTGGTGCTGTGTAATGGGCCACCTCAGAAGTCGACTCTGGGACAGTACAGCACTCACTTTATTGTCATTTCTTATTCTTGGGGCTGACTCAAGCAGGCAGTTCTCATGTAGGGCCTCTTTCCCCTGGCACAGTGCTGGCTGGGTCTGGAATTTGCTGGGGGCTTCCTCACTTGTGCCTGGCTGCTGGCCTCTGTGTGTGGCTTGGGCTTCTATGCAGTATGGCGGCTGTGTTCCAGGAGTGGCTGTTCCTGAGGAGGCCTGGTAGAAAACTGAGCTACATGCTGTGACCAGGCCTGGCCACACTGGAGAGAGTGCTTCCATGTGGTCACACAGGAAGCAGAGTGTGTGGGTGGAAGGTGTGGGCACAGCCTCCAGGGAGTGTGGAATCTGTTGCAATGTCCTTTTGGGTCAAGCTTTGAAGAGTGGAGAGCTGGAATGGGGTGCTGCCCTGAGAGAAGGGCCGTCCTATGCTCTGTGAGAAGTTGGGAGTCTTCGTGTATACCAGCTTGCTTCCTCCTCTGCCCCTAGAAGACCTGTGTGGGCCCTTGTCTGTGGTCCTCTCTTTTGCCTCTCTAGTGCTGTTCGTCGTCCTCTCTTTCACCTTTGACCAGCCCCTGTTCTGTTCTTCCTTTCCTCTCCACAGAGCAGAGGCTTGACTTTTGTTAGCCTTTGACGCTGTGGGGGATATCCAGTATGTTCTAAGTAAATGGAAGTAGGACCTGGGAATCTGCCATTTGTGTGGGCACCAGAAACGGGTGGGGGAGGAAGGCCAGCCATGACCCGTGATCCCTGGTAAGTTTTGAGGAGCTTGGAGCCCCTTGGAGATGCATGTAGGATCTGAGGCTGGTGGTCCTGTGCAGAGCCAGCTGCTCACTGTCTGGCTGTCACTGAGCACCAGGTCCTCAGGTCCTCAGATCCCTCTACATTGGCTGTTCCTGGCTGGTGATCTCTGCTCTCATGCCTGAGCCCTTTTAGATGGCAAGTCAGACAGGGCTGAGTCCTCTTCAGACCCTGCTCGGGGACCCCAGACCATCATTCCTGAGGCCAAAAGTTATTCTCATTCTTTCTGGACACTGAGCCTGTGGGGGCTGTTGTTAACCTGTCATCCAAACTGTGGCCTAGTTAGATGCTCCCCCCACCTCACTTAGGCCTCTTGGCTGTGAGAACAGAAAGTTAGTCCCTTGGCATAGGTGGGAAGGTGGCTTAGGGAGCTCCTGTCCCCCGTCCCAGGCAGTCCTGGAGAGGGCTGAGGAGGGCTCCTGGCACCCTGGGTGCTCATCATGCGTCGCCATGCACGTGGCTGTGTAAGGTGGCCACAGGGCTGGCATACCTGTGTGTCCAGGAAGGAGGTGAAGCCACCTTGCTTTACCAGGGCATGAGGTGTGAGAGGCCCCTGGGTGGCAGGTGCTCTGCATCCCTGGCCTGCTTCTGAGCACCATGGGTGCTGCTGCTTCCTGTGCTCTGTTTATGGCCCTCTGCCGCCGCTGGGTAGACTGTCTAAAGCTGGGCTGGTCCGCTCCCTCCCCACCAGACCCTCAGGGGCTTCTGGACCTCAGTCAGGTGAATACACCTTGCAGCCCTATTGCCAAGTCTCTGCAGTGCTGAGGGCACCCTGTGCCTCCTAGCTCTCCCTCCAACATCAATGTGTACTGCCCTTGTATTCTGAGTAGAGGGTGACGAGGATTTCTGACATAAGGCCTGAACTGAATTTGTACTGGTATCACATGCTTACTGTGTGAATTTAGGTTAGTGGCCTGAACTCTCTGAGCTTTGGTTTCCTGGTTTTCCTTAAGGAGAGAATGAGCACACTTCATGTGAGGATTTCCCGAGCACGGAGTGACAAAGGAGTTCCTTCCCAAACTTTTAAGCTTTATTTTATTAAACATTTTAGTTATTTATGTTTGGCAGTGCTTTACTGAGATAAGTTCATCTGCCTCGCAGTGGCCCTCTTGTAATGGGTAGAACTTCATGGTTTTTAGTATTTTCAGAGTTACATAACTGCCAACAGATAATTGTAGAATATTTTTATCATCTTAAAAGCCCTGTACCTGCGGGTCCATGTCCTGTCTCTGGACTCCCCTGTCCCGGACTCTCCTGTCACTGGGTCACAAACTGTGGCCTGTGTGTCTGGTTGTCACTTAGCACCAGGTCCTCAGATCCCTCTACATTGCATCTGTCACCTCGCTGCTGCCCTGGCCAAGGACGCTCCAGGCTGGTTTGTGTTTCTGTTGGTCGCCTGATGGATGTCGAGGTGATTTCCACGTTGTTTCCATGTGAGTCTGACCCTGCTGTGACCGTTCATGTCCAGACTTCAGTTGGACATTCTCCAGGACTAGTCCACGACAGTATTGTGGTCATCGGTCTTTTTGATTGAAGCTATCCTGTGACTGAGAAGGGGTGTTTTGCTGGGCTGTGGTGCTTCTGCATGCCGAGGGATGCTGAATGTCTTTCTGTGAGCTGATGGACCATTCATAGGTCTCCACTGGAGAAATGTGTTTTGTGGTGCTGGAGATTGAACCCAGAGCCTTGTGCATGTAAGGCAAGCACTCTACCAACTGAGCTATAGCCCCAGTCCATCCTGTGTCCTTTTTTAAATTGAGTTGTTTGCCTTTTTGTTACTGAGTTGTATTACAAGAGTTCTTTACACATGCAGGTCCCTTGCCAGGTGTATGATTGATTGGCAGGTGTTTTCTTCCATTCTGTGAGTTGTTTCACTTTATTGATAATGAAGTATGAAAGTTTTGTTTTGTTATTTTTTGGTCTGGGGATTGAACCCAGGGGTTTAACCACTGAGACACATTCTCAGCCCTTTATATCTTTTATTTTGAGAGAGGGTCTCACTAAGTTTCTTAGAGCGTTGCTAAGTTGCTGAGGCTGGCTTTGAACTTCTGAGCTGCTGGGATTACAGGCGTGTGCCATTGGGCCTGTTTCTGCTCTGTTTTGTTTTTTTTTTTAAATATATTTTTAGATGTTATTAGACATTTTATTCATTTACTTATATATGATGCTGAGACTTGAACCCAGTGCCTCATACATGCTAGGCAAGTGCTCTACCACTGAGCCACAACTCCAGCCCCTGCTGTGTTCTTAAGGGGTATGTCTTATGCAACTTTTGACACTGGAATTGTCTTAATGTTTTGATTGTCCATTGCTAGTATATAGAAATATAGTGAATATCTATGCATTGATCTTGTACCCTACAACCTTGTTTAGATCATTTATTAGTTTAAATAGTTTTTAGTTTGGATTTTATAGGCACAAGATCATGTCACCAGCAAAAAGAGATATAGTTTTGTTCTTTCCTTATCCATTTGGGTTCCTTTTATTCCCTTTTCTTGCATGGATGGGAACCCCCTGGGGAGGTGCTGAGTATGAGTGGTGGGAGATAGCCCCCCACACCCCCACATGGAGGGCAAGCTCAAGTCTGATCTCTGGGTGTGGCTGTGGGCTTCCTGGGTGTCTCATCAGGCTGAGAGAGTCCCTTCTGTCCCTAGTTTCACACGCTAGATTGACATGCTGTGAAATCTACCTGAAATGTAGAATCAGTGGTTTTTCAGCAAGCACCTCTGTCTAGTTCCAGAACATTCCATCATCCCTTAAAGCAACACCGTTCCCGTGAGCGGTCAGTCCCCCACCCCTCCCCAGCCTCTGGCATGCATGAGTCCACATCCTGTCTCTGGACTCCCCTGTCCTGGATGTCTCCTGTTACTGGGTCCCACGCTGTGGCCTTGTGCCTGGTTCTTGCTGAGTGTGAGATCCTTAGGCCTGTGCATGCTGCAGCTTGGTTGGGATTGTGGGGTTGGTGGTGGGCAGTTTTTGCCATGTGGGAAGCTCTCCTGTGTGAGTGCTCGGGCCCTGGAGTGGGCTGTGTGGGTGCATGCTGCTTGTTCCATTCTCAGTGCCCCTGCCCAGCCTTTGGAGGCTGAGAGAAAGCCACCCGAGGGGAGGTGGGAGCCGGGCCTTGGGCTTGTGGAGCTGACCTTGCTTTTCTGTCTCCACAGGCCTCCTCGGTGGGGAGGCAGAGTCCTCACGTGGCCTCCTGCCTCGCTCACAGCCTGTGTCCCAGGGAGCCCGGCTTGCAGACAGCAGGTACTGTCTTCCTGCCAAGGTCCAGCAGGGCCTCTGGCTGTGAAAGGCAGAACCCTCTGGTGGCTTCCAGCCTCTGCTGGGTCAGGTGGAGGTGTGTGGCAGAGTGCTCAGGACCCCCTGTTCCCAGGCAGGGCCAGCTGCGACCCTGCGTGGACTAGAGTGCAGGTCTGCACTGGGGCTGGGGGTGGCATCTGCTTGTTGTGGCCTCCGGGAGTGACTGGCTGAGGGAGAACCGGCTGAAGGGCTAGGCAGGAGACACCCTCTGGGCGGGGATGAAGCTCCCAGGCCCTCTCCTGCTGGCCACTGCTCTGGCCCTGTGGAGGTGTTGCTGCAGGAGAGGAGAGCCCCTGTGATTGGACCCTTGCTGCAGGCTAGGCAGAGGGCCATCGCTCCAGCTGTAGCCCTGCAGGAGTGGCAGTGTCCCTGTCTCCCACTCCCACCTCCTCCAGGACTGGCCGAGGAAGTTCGGGGCACTGGCAGCTGTTGGCTCCCTCACCTGTACTGGGGGCCACTCTGCAGGCAGCTGCCTAGCCACTTGTGCTGACTCTGTAGCTGTCCTCCAGAGGCCACTGCCCTGGGCCCCCTGAGCTCCTCCCACACCCCTGTCCTGGGGTTAATTGAGCCCTGGCTGTTTTCTCTTGTGTGTATTTTTTTTTTTTTAAAGACGGACACAATATCCTTATGTATTTTTTTGTGGTGTGAGGATCAAACCCAGTGCCTCACATGTGTGAGGCAAGTGCTCTGCTGCTGAAGTATAGCCCCAGCCCCCTCTTGTGTGTGATTTGAATCTAACTTGCTGAAAATCACTGCGGAGGTGCAATGGACACACCCTGGGCCTTTGGGAAAACCCAAAGTCTAGCAATGGGTCCTGTCCTGTGGGCCCTACTTAACAGTGCTGCTTCTTGGTGTGTTGACAGCTCAGCTCCATCCTGTAGTGAGCTGTATAGCCCACCACCCCAGGTTTTAGGAGTCAGGGCCTTCCTGTGTCTATACTGTGTTGTGGGGCCAGGCTTGGCCCTGGCACCTGGGAGCCCTTCTGCTCTTTCCACCCTAACCTCAGTGGTACCTGCCTCTTAGGCCATTTACCTTCCCGCAGGCCTTCGTGGGTATCTGTGTGTTCAGGAGGACCAAGCGGTCCCCAGAAAGAAACACATGCCCCAGACCCTTAAAGTGTGTGTGTGTGTGTACTAATGTGCTCCTCGGTCAGCACCCATGGTCCTTGGAGACTCTTGGGTTCACATGCGGGAGCTGGCCCTGCTGGGTATCCTCTGTGTGCACCAGAATGCCTGTGGATGCACACTGAGTGCTCCGTCCTTGGGATGGCAGGGCCACCACTGCCTTCCCTACCCTGGACATCTTCAGCTGCCTCCTGGTGGTTGGAGATGGGCACTGGGAGGTGCTTACCCAGGCTGGGGTCTCCTCCACAGTGGTGTCCATGGGCTCTGCAGACCATCAGTTCAACCTTGCAGAGATCCTGTCGCAGAACTACAGTCTTCGGGAGGAGTGCACAGAGCCCCTGCGGTGCCCTGAGAAGCCCGAGGAGGAGCTGGACAAAGACTTCATATCCCAGGTACGTGGCTAGCTGTGCCCTCCTGGCACACTTGAGGCTTCTGCTCTTGGATTCTCTGTGCACGCACCACGTGCACACCTGTTTACAGAATGCCAGCCTCACCCTATTCTTGTGGGGCTCTAGACCATCTTGGCAGCTGGACACGACTGCACTGAGCTCAGGTCTGCTGTTCTCAGAGGCTCTCTGTGCTCCTGAAGTCAGCGAGGGACTGAGAAGCTTGCCTCTTACTGCATTTTCCGTCAACACTGAAGCATTTGACAATATTTGTTCACTAGTTCATGAAAATAACAGTAGTGCTGGTGTGTGGCTCAGTGATAGAGTACTTGCCTAGCATGCCTGGGTCCCTTGGGTTCAATCCCAGCAGCAACAACAACAGAAAAGGCACCAAATATATGTTAATGGAAATAACCTTTTTTAAAAAAATAAATATATTTTTTAGTTGTAGTTAGACATAATATTTTTTTTTTTTTTTTTAAAGAGAGAAAATTTTTTAATATTTATTTTTTAGTTTTCGATGGACACAACATCTTTATTTTATATTTGTGTGGTGCTGAGGATCGAACCCAGTGCCCCGCGCATGCCAGGTGAGCGCGCTACCGCTTGAGCCACATCCCCAGCTCTGGACATAATATCTTTATTTTGTTTATTTATTTTTATTTGGTGCTGAGGATCGAACCCAGTGCCTCACACGTGCCAGGCGAGTGCTGTACCGCTCAGCCCCAGCCCCTGGAAACAACATTTTTGTGCAGATGAGAAAATTATTCCATTTTTAAAAACAAAAAGAATTTGTGGAGGAGGGGGAACTTTGTGGAGTGTCTGCCAGCTGTTCTTCCAGACAGAAGTGGACGGTGGGCTCCTGCCTGCCCCATCCGTCCCGTGCTCTGGAGTGGCTACCTCCCTACTTATACAGCAGGCGCTCTGTATGCCTTCCGCACCCCACACAGCTATCATGCCTGTCAGGGTGAGAGCTGTTGAGGTTGCTGACTTCATCCTGAGTGTTCAGAATGGTAGCCCCGCTCTGTGGTGCACTGCTGTGGCTGTGCTGGACCGGTCTTGTGCCCACAGGCTCTGTAGGACTGGCCTGTGTGTCAGCGCAGTGGAGGGTGCAGGTACATCAGGCCTGCTGCAAAGGTATCCAGGGAAGTGGGGTCTCAGCCTGCTACCAGCCTCCGTCACGTCATTGGGAGCCCCATGGCCGTGCCCAGATAGATGCTGCCTGTTGTCTCCAGGGCCAGGGCTGGAAGGAGCTGCTGGTTCTCTGTGAGGACCTAAGGCCCTGAGAATGAGGATAGGAGTTGGGGTGTAAGGAGGGAGGCAGGAGCTGGGCAGTGTGGTGGCACAGAGGCTGTCCCTACCTGTCCCTGTTCTGGACTGGTAGCCTCTAGGCTCAGATGTCTCTGCCTGTCCCAGGCTGTAGAAGAGCTCCCAGGGGCTGGGCACCTGTGCCAGTCCTGGGCTGTAGAGAAGCCCCCAAGGGCTGGCCTGAGGGTTGGCAGGGCAGCACAGCCACATGGGGTCTTGCTGAGAAGTAGACAAATGGTCCTGGTGGTGGAGCCCTGGGTGGAGCCTCAGTCAGAAGTGGGGACCAGAGCCCTGGGCAATCTCCTAATAGGGCTCATCCTCTCCGGTGCAGAGCAGTGACATGCCCCTGGACGAGCTGCTGGCACTGTACGGCTACGAGGCATCTGACCCCATCTCAGAGCGGGAGAGTGAAGGTGGTGAATCAGCCCCCAACCTCCCAGACATGACTCTGGACAAGGTGAGTGAGGGTCCCTCCCAGAACTGGCCCCCAGTAAAGGGGGGACTCACACATGGCCCCTGACTGCTTCCATGTGGGAGCCAGCAGAGGCGGCCCTGTGCCCACAAGGGAGACGCAGTCAGCAAGCCCAAGGCCAAGGAAGGGTTGTTGTCCACCTGTGGTTTCCTGTCCAGGCTCAGGGTGGTTCTGGGCTGACCCATTGGCATTCTGGTTTGGGTGGATGGAGCGGGCAGAGGAGATGCCAGGGGCATCACGGGACAGGATGCTGGGGCTTCCAGAGCATGGGGTCTCTGTCAGGGAAGTGGAGAACCAGACGAAGTGAGAGAGTGCCACAAGCCCAGCTGCAAAGTGGGCGTGCCCAGGGCTCTGTGCTGTGGCAAGGGTGGCAGCAGCCGTGTGCTGTGTTGAGATGGTAAAAGAAACCGACTTGCATCATTTTCTCTGCTCTCTTGTTCAAAGGAACAAATCGCCAAGGACTTGCTTTCAGGAGAAGAGGAGGAGACACAGTCCTCTGCTGATGACCTCGCCCCATCTGTCACTGCCCATGAGGGCTCAGTCCTCTTCCCCAGCCAAAGTGGGTGTAGGTGTCCCCGTGCTTCCCCCCACCAGCCTGGCCTGTGCCTGGCCCTGGGGATGCAGGCAACAGGCCTTAGGTTGTGTGAGCAGAGCTCTGGCTGGGATGTGGGGTGCAGGGCGCCAGGTGTACTGGGATGCTGAGCTCTCCTCTGTCCTGGCCTGCGAGTCCTCAGGGTGCTCATGGCTTAAACCAGGAGGGAACTTTTTACTTCTTCTTTTTCTTTTTTTTTTTTTTTTTAAAGAGAGAGTGAGAGAGGAGAGAGAGAGAGAGAGAGAGAGAGAGAGAGAGAATTTTAATATTTATTTTTTAGTTATCGGCGTATACAACATCTTTGTTTGTATGTGGTGCTGAGGATCGAACCCGGGCCACACGCATGCCAGGCAAGCGCGCTACCACTTGAGCCACATCCCCAGCCCTTGATAGTTTTTCTAGCAGGTCCAGAGATAGCATTCCTAGACTGTCCCCAACCATCCTATTCCAGGACCTGCCTGCCTCTGTGCTGGCTTTTTGTGGCAGCAGAGAGGCCCCTCTTTGTAGGTGGTTCTTGGCCCTGTGCTTAAGAGGAAGGTCATAGTGGAGGATGGGGTTGTAAAAAGAAGGGAGTATCCAGGCTGCAGCCTGAGAGCAGGGGTCGGCCCACTCCCAGGGCTGCAGGTGCAGCTCACTTCTCTTTCCCAAAGCCCGCTTCCTGGCTGGTGACGGCAAAGAGCCGGGTTCCTCTGCTTCCTCTGACACCGAGGAGGATGCTCTTCCTGCCAACAAATGTAAGAAGGTGCGTAGCTGGCAGCTCCTGACCCTGTTGGCCAAAGCCAGGACCAGCTGAGCCCTTGATTTGGGTTTGTGCCCTTTGTCCCAGGGGAATGGCCCACACAGCTCCCAAGAGGTGGGCCAGACCAGCAGCAGGGTCTTGAGACTGTGCTCTGTGCCTGCCCTGGGGTCCACCCTTGGGCCTGGCAGTGTGGCCAACACCTTGTCTGGGGCCTGCTGGGCTGTTGTCAGGATGTTCTGGATCTCCCACTGTCTGCTGGCAGGTGGCACAGGCGGGTTGGGGCAGTGGTCTGCAGCCTAGAGTCCAGGCAGGGCTGTGGCAACTGGCCTCCCAAGGGCTGGAGGCTGGCTGGCTCCTGATACTGACTTTTCCTCTGTAGGAGATCATGGTGGGACCTCAGTTCCAGGCTGACCTCAGCAACCTGCACCTGAGCCGACATGAGAAGAGTGAGTAGCCAGAGCAGCAGGGGACTCCAGCTCAGCAGGAGACTAGGGCCCAGCCTGGGCTGTGCTGCCACATGCTGAGCTGTACTTCCTTCTGTGCAGACTGGGCCCCAGCCACCCTTTTCCCAGCCCCTCCCCTCTCCTTCTCCCTCCTCTTGCAGCTGGATGTCCTTGCAGATACCTTCCTGGTGTCCCTGTGTCTCCTTCCCTGCTTTGTTCCTCTCTGGGTGCTTGCTGTTCTGGGATGTGATGCTTGTCTTTCTCCCCCCCTCCCCCCCCAAGTCTGGAGCCCTCTTGTTCCTCTAGACTGGCCCCCTGCTGCTGGCTTGGGTTTTGTCCTTTTGCCCTGGAGCCCTGCAGGGCCCAGGCCGTCCTGCTGGGGAATTGTTTCCCTGTGACTCAGCAGTGGGATTGGGGTTGGGGACAGAGCAGAGTACTGAGGGTAGAGGGGTCTCTCCCGGGTGCCTGGGATGTGCCTGCCTAAGTAGGGCCGTAGGTGACGAGGGGTGCTGCCCTGGAAAGGGCCCTCCCTGTGCACTCCTTGGCTATGCCCTTGAGGGGCTCGAGCCTTGGTGTAGACTCCAGCTGGACCCTTCCTGGCCCAGCTTGCCCCGGAGCTGTGCCCTCCTGGGGCAGCCAGGGCTGTTCCTGTGGCCACTGGCCAGTGTTGCATCTGGGAGGACATCTGCGCCACCTGGGCAGCGTGCCTGCGTGTCCTCACAGTGTGTCCCTTCCTTGCTGGTTGGTGTTGCTGTCTTCCCCACGTGTCTCTGTGGTGCGTGGGCAGGCTCTGCAGGAGATCCCTCCAGTGCTGGCCTTGCACTGCTCCACACCTCAGCAGGGATGCTGTCTTGCTGCAGGAGTCTCCCAGGGAGGGGACTGCCTCACTGCGGCTCTTGCTTGTGCGCACTGTGCACCAGCCACTTGGACGTACTCGGGCATGGTGCATGTTCAAGGGTGTTCAACCTGTAGCCTGGTTCTCTCTGAGGGGGCCACTGTCTGGGGTTGGTATCTGCACTGCTGTAGTGCCCTTTGGCCCTGGCTGATGCCTGGGTTTTAATGAGGCACTGTTGGTTTGTCTTTTTGGCAGTGTGTTGGGGTGGCCGGCTGAGGTCCTGGGAGACTTTCCTTTGGAGTTTTCCCGCTGGCATGTGAGACTGTGCTGTCCGAGCTGCTGCTGGTGGGGCCTGAGGCTGTTCCAGGTGTGCATGCCTGGAAGCACATTCTTTCCCCTCTGGGGCAGGGTCTCTCCTCTCTGACCATTGGGCTCTGCTCTGGCATGTTTGCTGAGGTTTTAGGGTTGGCTGGGTCAGTTGCCTCAAGAAGCTGCCAGGGTTTTGAGGAGCCTTGTGCTGAGCTGGAGGTTAGGGGGAGAGGTGCTGGGTCAGCAGTGGCAGCAGTTCTGCCTGTGGGTCTGGGTTGCTGTGCCCTTGGGCCTCCAGCATTGACAGTGCTTGTGTGCTTTCCAGGGTGGCACTTCTGTCTTCAGTTACGGTGCTGTCACAAAGGATATTCCAAACTTGGTACTTCCTGCTGGATTCTTGCTGGTAGAACTGCAGTTTGTTATTTTAACTGATCTCGTACGTAATCAGTTTAGAACTTTGTAGATCTGCTAGTTTCTTACTGCCCCATCGTGCTGTTTGCTGAGGACAGCGCAGCCTCTTTCTTTCCAGTCTTTGTCTTGTTTTCCCTTGACCTGTGTCCCTGTTCGTGCAGGTCAGGGTGGGAGAGGAGTGGATGGTGTCTGTCCTCGCCTTCAGCCTCAACTCAGGACCCGCACTCCACACTTCCCATGGGTGGGAGTCCCTGTGGGACCATCTTGGCTGTTGCCGCTATGCTTGTGGCACTGGCTCCGCTGTGTGCTGGGCATCCCCTCTGTTTTGTTTTTAGTGGCTGTGCTGTGCTGAAGCCCCTCCTCATGTGGTCCGACCTCCTTGTTGCTTGCTTGTGGAAATGTGTGTGCACCAGGCTCAGCACTGCGCTCTTTTGGTGGTCTGGACATGCACGCCCCGCGGCAAGACTGTTGCCATCCCTTCTTTCCTATGGCCAGCGGGCGCCTTCCGTAGCAGCGGCCCCTCAGCATCACTTCCCTGAGTATAGGAGTGCTGCACTGGGCCAGCTTCCTGCTGCAGGTGCTACAGGGTGTGAAAGAGTCGGGAAACAACACCTGGGAACCTGCTGATTTGCTGGCTGACTGCAAGCGTGTGCAGCAGCCCCATGGGCCTGCTATGCTCTGCCTGGCCTGCTGCTGTGTGCCGAGCACCTGTGTCCCTGAGCTGGGCTGCTCTCTTGGCACTGTATCTGGAAGGGTCCCTCCAGGAGAGAGTGTGAGTGAGTGTGTGTGTGTGTGTGTGTGTGTGTGTGTGTGGCTGTAATTACCCCTTTGAAAGTTTGCAGGAACACTTCAGTGGAGCGCCCTGAACCTGGGGTTTGCTTCTGCTTCGTTTTTTGGAAGGTCATTAATAAAAACTTCAGTTGGTTGAACCGTGGGGATCTGTTGGAGCACCCTCTCTGGTGAGCCGTGCTGCAGGTGGTGGGCTCTGGTGGCACCCTCCTGCCCTCCTGCTGGAAGTGTCGTAGGTTTCTGGTGACACCCCAAGGTTTTCGACTTGGCATTTATGTCTTCACTTTGTTCTCCGGCTCAATCAGTCTTGTTTGGGGTTGGTCAACTCTTTTACTCCACAGAGGGTCAACTTAGGCTTCTTGACTTCCTTTGCTGTCTGATTTCCATTTAATTTTTACTTTTATCTTTATTCTCTTGTATTTTATTTCAATTCAATTTGTCGTTCTCTAGTTTCTGTTGTGATTTCTTGATGATGCGTGGGTTTCTCAGAGGTGTTCTGTTTAAGTTCCAAATACTGGGGATTTTATAGTGACCTTTGTTGGCAGCCATCTACCTGTCTGGTCAGAGAACAGAGAGCGTCACTGAAGTCCCCTGTAGCTGGTTGAGAGTGTCCACGAGCCAGACTTAGACTGCTATAGAGATGCTGTTGGCTATAGGCAGAGGCTTGTGTGTGTGTCTCTGAGGTCACCCTGTGTCTTGGCACACTGGATCTTATCTATCTGTTGTGGTGGTGTTGGTGTTTTAGTGTAACGGCGAGTCCACCTGTGTGTGCAGGTACTGTGAAGACCCATCATTTCAGCATGAAACCGTGGGCTTTGGGGTCCCATCTTTCTGTTTGCTTTTGTTTTTTCTTGGTTTCCTTTTGATTTTTCAAACGCTCATTTGTGGGTCTCCTGGTTCCAGCCACATAGCCGAGTCTGTAATGACCTTTGAATTCCCTCCTAAGGTCACATGACCAGTCTTTCACAGTGTCACTTGACGGTGTGCTGCCCTTACCCCTGCCCTTGTGGCTTCCACCAGTTGGCAGTGTGCATGGCGCTGCCAGCCTGAGCATTGCGGAGGCGCTTCTCGTGGTCCTTGCGGTGCAAGAGATGGCTCTGAAGGCCTGGTCAAGTGTTGTCTGAACAACTCCAGCTCTGGGTGTTTGGCTTGCTCTGTGCACCCACGGGCAGGTCCACTGCCTTCTGGCTGGTGTCTGTTGGTCAGCGTCACACTGTGGCCTCTGCTGTCCTTCTACCTTTCCCTGTGTGTGAGTGAGGGTCTGGCCTTGCCTTTTCCAAAGCATTTTGCAGTGGTGTGCTTTCCTACTTGCTCGTCTCCCTTGTGGGTGCTGCCTTCCCAGGCCGGCTCATCAGTTGAGTGTCTGCTCCCCGAGGCATGGGCACATCCTTGGGCTGCTGGAGGGCTGACCCTGCAGACTCTGTTCTTTCTCAGGACACTTGAGCTGCATCTTCTGCTTCCAGGAGCCCTGTCTTGTGCTGGTCCAGGCTGCTGTGGGACCCGCCCCCGGCTCGTATTGTAGTTTGGGTTTACAGTCCTGGAAGTCCCTCAGCACAACTTGCACTCTCTACCTAGAGCCCCTGCTGGTCTTCCCTCTCACCCTCCTCTGCCTGGGGGCCCTGTCTGAGCTTTGAGTCCTGGCATGCTGGCTTCGTCTCAGCCTCATGGTCGCTGGTGCCTCATATCCCTCTGACATTTTTTCCTGACCATGTTCCAGGCCGTGTGTGATGTTGTCTTCGCCAGAGATTGTCCCACTCTTCTCCCAGGGACCCCCGGGTCCAGGCAGGGCCTGGAGTGTGGGCTGCAGGAGGGACTGTGCTGTCTGAGCGCGTCTGCCCAGGCCGTTGGCGCCAGGAGTAGCCTGCTGGGTGTGGTTGAAGCTGCCTTGGACTGTCCTGTGGAACAGTTCTCCGGGTGTGCTCCGTGTCCTGCGGTGTGCGGTGGCTGTGTTTTGACTGTCTTGCAGAACAGCTGTCTGGGTGTGCTCCGTGTCCTGCTGGTGCACTGGGTTTTGTTTGGCCTTGTTGGTTTGGTGCTTGGTCCCTGCACGCCCGGGACTGCCGAGGGGTACAGGTGCTGGTTTGTCCCCGCCACACCTGAGCTCTTCCTCCCTGTCCTGAAGCCAGTTGCTGCTTTTCCTCTGCCTCTGAGTGTGCCTGCCACCCACCCACCACTGTGGCAGGACTGACCTGAGTCCCTTGGTCTGTGCTGTAGTGGCCAGGATACCCCTGCCCTGGCTTGGGGGCTTCTTGGCTTCCTCCGCCACTGCCTCTGGTGGTACTGCCTGTGGCTGTAAGCCGGTCACGTCCTGCATTCCTGTGGGCCCCTCCCCAGAGCTCTCTGGACTCCTCTAGGAAGTTTCCTTTGAGCTCTTGGCTGGGTCAGGTGTCTACTGGCCCACTCTGGGCCCTGATGGCTCCGGCCTTTTCCTGGGCATCCAAAGCTGGCCCTGGACCTGTTTGTCACTTTGAATTGCAGAGGCTCAGAGATGGTGGGCCCAGAGCACAAGACTGTGAGGAATTAGTTGGTATCCACCCCACTGGGAGGTGCTGAGATGGCTGCTCCAACTCTCCTAGCATGGCCTGTGACTTGACCCATGCCCTTTTCTGCCGGCAGTCTATGAGAATGAAGATCAGCTGCTCTGGGACCCCAATGTCCTCCCTGAGAGGGAGGTAGAAGAGTTCCTGTATCGGGCTGCGAAGCGCAGGTGGCAGGAGATGGCGGGTTCTCAGCTCCCTCAGGGAGAGACTGTGATAGACAGCGAGCAGGTGGGCTTCCAGGTGGGGCAGGGCCGCAGTGCCAGGGGGTCAGGCCTACCAGCTGCACAGGGTGGGCAGGAACACCCACCCAGGGTGGGCTACCGTGGTCACAAGTTCACTTCAGAGCCACTGTCAAGATGTCACTCTAGGCGGTGGTGCTGCTGCCCCCTGTCACTTCTGGGCAGTGGCACAGTTGACCTGTGCCACTCTTGGTGGTGGCATGGACACCCTGATGTCATTCCTGGGAGATGGAGATGTTCCTGCTGTTGGGTCCAGGTGGACGTGTGAGGAGAGTAAATGGTCCCTCTCCCCTAGGCGCTGTACGAGCTGGTGAAGTGCAATTTCAATGTGGAGGAGGCCCTGCGGAGGCTGAGGTTCAATGTGAAGGTGATCCGAGGTGAGCCCAGCCCTGGCCTCTCTGCTGGTCCATGCTGCCCCCGGGGGCCCAGTTGACCATCCCCTGCTGTTTGCAGATGGACTGTGTGCCTGGAGTGAGGAGGAGTGCCGGAACTTCGAGCACGGCTTCCGTGTGCATGGGAAGAACTTCCACCTGATACAGGCCAACAAGGTGCATCTCCCCTCTCTGGGGAGGAGGCAGGGCTCTGGCAGGCCCAGGGGTCGCCTCTTGCTCTGGTGTCCTCTCCTCACATTGCCAGGCCCCTTTCCCGTCCTCAAAAGCAGAAGCCTCCGGCGTGGGAGTGAATCTGCTAAAAGGTGGACCCTCTTGGCCAGCTGTGGGTGTCGCTGAGGCTCCATGTCCCAAGTGGACCTTTGTTGGCTCAGTCGCAGTGCAGACCCCACCTTTGCCCATGTCGTGGCCTTGGGGGTCAGCTGACTCATCCAGGGATACTGTCTTCCCGCCTTTCCATGGCTGTCCTGCTCTGTGGGGCTCTCAGGTCCTACAGCAGTGCCACTGACTGCTTTCTTGGCCTGGCTGGCAGCTTCCTGAGCCTCTCTCCCCTGTTCCCGTTGTTTTCCTGATCCTTTCGGGGCAGATGTCCCTGCTGATGGGTCCAGGTGGATGGGTGAGGAGAGTGGCCAGAGATGCTTACGTGGTGGGGGTGTCTTGGTGTCTTATAACCCTCTTCTGAGGGTTATGGTGCAGGAGGCCATGTCCTGTGATTGGGTATAGGCTGCGATATTGCCCCAGTGACTTCCCAGTGCTGGACTAGAAGCAGTGCTGCCCGCTCCTGATTAGACCTTGGTGTGCAGAGCCAGGAGCATGGATCTGTGGCCACAGGCCTCTCTGGGTGTTTTCTGGGCTGTGGGAGACAGCAGCGGTCCACGGAATGCCTACTGCCTGGCCCTCGTCTAGCAGCTGCCTCGTGCGCATGCAAGGCCGCCCTCCAGAGAGGCCGCCTGGCTTTCCTGAGTGGGGGTCACTGGGTTCCTCAGTGCCTCGTGCTGGTTAGCAGTAGGCTTGGGTGACGTCTTCCCCACTAGAGGTCTGCCCTAGGCTTGCAGCGGGATGTACCTCCCGGTGTGATGCTCCGAGCAACAGGGCCTGCATCCACCTAATCAGGCAGCTGTGCATCCCCAGCTCGGGGCTTCTGGGGTGTTGCGTGACCACCCCCTTCCTGGGTGTCACTGTGGGGCTCGTACAGTGTCCCTTGGCTCAAGTGCCATCCTCTGGCTGTGGGCTGCACCTGCTGACTGCATGGGGCCCACAGGGAGGAGCTGGTCGACCAGAGGGATGCCAGCCATCCTTGGCGCTTGCCTCTGGGGTGTGGAGGCAGGTGCTGGGTGGGGGCTCTGGGTTTGATGTTGGTACCACAGAGAAAAAGAAGGGTCCCAGGCTAGGAGGTGGGTCTCTGATGGGGCCTCAGGATAAGGCTCTGGCCAGCAGCAGTGGCCATGAGCCCCAGATGGCAGACCTGGGGGCCTGGACTCTTGGCTCTGAAGGACCTTGGAGCCTAGACTCTTGCTCTGACCCAGTGGCCCTAGGGGCCTGAGGCTGGGCAGTGGGGCCAAGGATGCCTGTCTGTCCATCTTCAGGTGCGTACACGATCAGTGGGCGAGTGTGTGGAGTACTATTACCTCTGGAAGAAGTCGGAGCGCTATGACTACTTTGCCCAGCAGACGCGGCTGGGCCGGAGGAAGTACGTCCCGTCTGGAACCACGTGCGTGCAGTGCTGCTGTAGCAGTAACGTCCGCGTCGGCCAGGCTGGGCTGCCCACTGCAGCCTGGGGGTGGGTGTGGAGGGCATCTGGGCAGCACCTTGGGCAGGTGGTCCTGCCTGCCTCCCTACACCTCACAGCCTGCTCTGCACAGGGACACAGACCAGGACCTGGAGGGAAGTGACCCTGATGGCCCCACTCGTCCCCGCCCTGAGCAGGACACCCTGGCGGGGGTGCGCACAGGTGAGAGAGTGGGTGGCAGCCAGTCAGGGACTGTGGGGACAGCAAACGGGCCTCCTAGCACCTGTCTGGGTCAGTCGCTGCAGTGAGCAGGGGGTGTCCAAGTGGCTGAGGTCATCTCAGGAGGGATGCTTTTGAGGATGGGTCACGTCTGTCATCTGGGCCTTCTGGGGAGTAGGCTGGGTGGCCCCCCACAAAGGCCCAGGCTTTCTGTCACTGGGGCGCCTGCCCGTCCCTGGGGTGGGTGCTTAGTCCTCAGCACCAGGCCACTTGGGGAGGACAGGAGTGGCTCTGAGCTCTCAGCATCCTGGGCCCTGGGGTCATCTGGGAGCCAGACATGGCCCCATGAGTTCTCCATGCTCTTGCTGGTGATGCCCCTAAGGGACATGAGCAAGGCCCTTTGCTTCCTGGGGCCGTGTGTGGAGGTTGAGCTGGAGAGGGATGTCTGGTCTCTGTGGTTGCCCCAGAGGCCTGCAGGTGTGACAGGCCTGTGTGCTGCTTGCCGAGACAGTCTCCAGGAAATCCTGTCTCTGTCTTCTGCAGCACCCCCAGCTGCTGTGGGTCTCCTCTGCTGCTGCTGTGCTGTTGGAGACATGGCTTGTGGCCTGCATTTGCTCTCACACTTTCCAAGGCTGGGCTGTTGAGCTGGGTCCACCGACTGCAGCGTGGCAGGCATCTTTGGCCTTGGAAGTGTGTCGTGAAGGAGCCGGGCAGGCACCACAACTGCCGCCTGGCTGCATGTGAGGCTCTTGGGCCCTGGTGGGGTTGTTGGGGTCTCCCAGCTATGTTCTCTTCCCACAGAGCCGCTGAGCACGGATGGCACGTCCAGGAGCCTTGGTGAGCCTGAAGTGGGCTCCCATGGCCTGCTGTCCTCGGAGCCAGGGCCTTGCCCATTCCCGCAGCTGGATGAACCCCCTGCCGTGACCCTGCCCCAGCCGCCCCCAGCCCTGGCCGACCCAGCCGTGTACCCCTCTACTGCAGCTGCTCCAGAACCAGGTGCCAGCCCGAGACTGGCTGTGGACTTCACGCTGCCGGAGGAGCTGCCCCTCATCTCCAGCCACGTGGGTCTGAGCGAGGACCCAGAGGAGCCCGCGGCCCCGGCGCAGGTGGCCTTGTCGGTCACTGAGTTTGGACTCATTGGCATCGGGGACGTGAATCCCTTCTTGGCTGGCCATCCAGCGTGCCCGGCCCCCGGGCTGCACTCGGAGCCCCTGTCACAGTGAGTGCCACCTGCCTAGGCAGAGCTGGGCTGACCCAGCCAAAGGGTGGTGGCCCTGTGAGGGTCGTGACTGCTTTCCTAGTCTTACTCTCTTCCACCATCTGACTCATTTTGAGGTGGTAATATGATCACATGTCCAAAACGTAAAAAGGTACAAGTGAGGGCAGGTGTTGGGCTCCCAGTGCACACTGCCTCAGGGGTCTGGGGGACAGAGTGGCTCTGGGGGAGGTGAGGGGGAGCCGTGTGGAGCCACACAGGCGCGGCTGACTCTGGTCCTCGTCTCTTCTGCAGCTGCAACGTGATGACCTGTTGATCCCTGCCGTGGGCGGGCTGTGTGGCCCGCACGGGACTTGAGGGCACCACCCGGCCTGCCCCCATCTTCCTGAGCCCTCCCCAGCTTGGGCTGGGTTGCCACCTTCTCTGCTTTCGAACGAATACTGGGACCAGGGTGAGGTGGCTGGGCCTCTGGCCCTTGCCCTTCCACCCAGACTGGACCCTGGGCCACTACCACCCAGCTCCAGGCTGTACTGCACCCTGGGATCCACTGGGCATCCGGTCTCAGAGAGGGCCTGACCCTCGGGAGTCAGGGCAGAGCTGGCCTCCTGGCCCCTCGTAGGCAGCAGAGGCAAGGGCAGACATCACTGCCCCCGGGGAGGTGGGCAGGACATACTGCCTGCACCAGCAGCTTCTGCCTGGGTGGCCTCAGCACCAGTCAGCTCTGTCCCTGATGGGACAGGGCTGCAGGCTGCCCTGCCTGGGCTTGGTGCCAGCTCTGCTTAGTGCCGGATCTTGGGGTGCAGAGCCATATACCTCGCTTTCTGTCCGGCCTCCCTGCCCTCGGCCCCTGCCCACGGCCCCTGCCCACAGCCCCTGCCCACGTCTCCACTTCAGGAATTGCCGCACTTTATGCCTACCTGCCTCCCGCCTTTCCACCCATCCTGACCCCGAGCGACTGGTGGGGTCCTTAGCAAGCCCCGGGGTGGGGAGGGTTTGAGGAGATTGGTGGCCCACCCCCTTGCTGCCCTTTCCCCCTCAGCACCAAGGCTGGTTGCTTCAGAAGTGCTGCTATCGCCTGCACCGAGGCCGGACTCCAGCGCGCTTGCCTGCCCCCCCAACCCCCTGCAGTTCTTTGTCAAGGTGTCCCAGCAGATGGCCGGGATCCTGTCTTCTTTCCGGCCTCCTCCCTCTATTTATGTTGGTGTTTACAAGTCAGAGTGGTCCTCTGGCCAGGTGGACAGCTCACCTGGAATTGTGGGGCAGGGTCTTGTGGGCTCTCTGTAGCCGCACATGGCCACCTTGCCCACCAAGGACCACACCGTGCAGTGAAGCTGCCTTCACCCCTTCCGCTGTTTTATTTATTAAATCTGATTTGAATCCCAGGTGCCTCGTGGTGATGGGTGGGGGCTGGAGACTCAGGCCATCGTCTTGCAGGGGACTTGAGTCCCGCTTGAGGATCTGGGCCAACTGGTGACCTTGACAGCAGGGCGTGTGGCCTGGAGACATGGGGACCGTGGAGTGGTCCTCATGATGGACACTGCAGCATAGTGCTGGGTTAGGGCTGGGGCTACCTCGGGAAGGTGGGTTTGTGCCAAGCCCTGCAGGAGGCCAGGGCAGAGGTGGCAGCAGGTGGAGAGGGCTCTGCCCCAGAGGTGGGGCACAGTGGGGAGGGCTGCGTGTAGTTCTGAGCTCATCCCTGGGACCTTGCTTCCCTCTGTGGCCGGGGTGGTGCCGAGGCTACAGCCCCTCCTGGTGGAAGGCATAACTCCTGGGCCCCTAGGTGGCTGCCAGGCAGAGTGATTTTCTATTACCTGAGGTGGCAGGACAGGCCTTGGAGCAGGAACTGACATGGGGTGAAAGGAACAGCCAGGGCCAGGAGTGCAGGCCCCAACAGGTCGTAGTGTGGTGTGCCTGTCCCTGAGGGTGGGAGGCATCGGGGTACTTCTCTCAGGCTGAGGAACTTGAAGACCTAGGGTGCGGTGGGTTGGAGAGGGCGGGGCCGGGCCAACCTGGGGTGTCATCTGTTTCCTGTTCCTGCTGATGGTGTCCTGGGTTTCTGATTGCTTGCTGGGCATGTGTGGAAAAATGGGGGATGGGGGGATGAGTGTAGTCTTGGCCAGGGTGGGTACGGTGCCTTCGGGCTGGTTGGGAGGCCCCCCCCCCCCCCCCGTAGTTGGGGCTCAACTCAGGTTTCAAGCTCTGAGGGAGGCACCAAGCTGTTCCTGCTGGCCACACTCTCTCTGCCCTCCAGCCAGCCCCTGGTGCGTGCCTGGGGACCAGCTCCATCTGGCATCCAGTCATTGGGATGGCCTGGCCCCTGCGCTTTCAGGTCCAGCCCTCTGTCCTCAGCCTTGTGTGGTTTTCCAGGGTCGTCTTTCATGACCCCTGTGAGAACCTGCACTGGACAAGTGCAGACGGTTGCCATGAAGGCGACAGCCAGGGCTTCTCAGCAGTGGCAAGTGTTCCAGAGCTGGTGGTGCTGGCTGGCCACTGCCCCAGGGTCTTGGCCTCGTTGACCTGACCACCGCGTCCTGGAGACCATGCAGCTCTTGTTTTCCAGGGAGAGCTGCCAGGTAAAACACAGGGTGCCCAGTTTGGTTCTAAGTACAGATAAATAATTCTGATATAAGTGTATCCCATATAATATTTGGGATATACGTATACTAAAAAATGGTTGTTGCCCTGTTAGGATTCAGATTTGTGTTGTCATACTATATTTAAGACAAACAAAACAACATTTATTTAGTTGTAGGTGGACACAACACCTTTATTTTATTTTTTAATGTGGTGCTGAGGATAGAACCCAGGGCCTCACGCACGCTAGGTGAGCAGCCTACCTCTGAGCCACATCCCCAGCCCCATACTGTACTTTTAATACAGCCCCAGCCCGTTCGTGGGCTGTTCAGGAGGATGTTGAGACGGGTGTGGAATCTTCAAGTGCCTTGGGAATGTCAGTGCCTGTTTCCTGCAGAGGGTGTCCCTGGTCCTGCCCTACAGGCACAGGTGCTCCAGTCACAGCTAGCCCAAGGTGTCCCATGGGACTGCAGAGCCAGGAGTCACTCCTGTGCAGGGGAGAGTTGGAAACAAGGCCCACAGGGCACTTTGGGGGATTGTCCCCCACATTGGAGGAGCTGGCACCTGGGGAGGCATCAGGAGGGTCACCAGAAGGCCCTTAACCCTTGAGCACAGTGGCCTCAGGGGCTGGGTCTTCAGCCTGTGGGTCCTGTGTTGTGCTTTGCTGATGGCTTCTGCTGTCCTGTTTAAGCTTGTGGCAGGGGTGGGCCTGGAGAGTGTGACTGGGCCGCACTGGGCTGCCACTACACTGCTGAGGTTCCGCGTTGTGCTCCTGTCTCATGGTCTGGGATGGCTCAGTCCAGCGGCCCTGCAGCCTCAGGCTCCAGGCCTCCAGGGCTCCATTCAGCTCCTGCTGCTCACTTCCTCTTTTCTCGAGGGCCTGCCAGGCCTCTGCTGTGTTTGGCCTTGCCCTCCTGCTGCTGCTGTGCACAGGCACAGCCTATGTGGTGTGTCTGGCCCCACAGGGGACCCAGGCGCAAGCCTGTGGCCTGCGTGTCTGCATGAGTTGGGTGTGGCCGAGGTGTCTTCACCCAGGACCCTGAAGCTCACCCCATCCCTGACTCTGAGGTGTGGTTCTACATTAGGGGGCTCTCCAAGGATTGTGGCACTGTGCAGTTCTGGGACCCCAAGGACACTGGCGCTGGACCCTGGATCTGAAGGCAGGACATTCTGAAGGTGTCCTGCGCATCCCCCAGCCCTGTTGTCTGCCTCCTGGGCGTTGCAGCAGTGCTTCCCAGTGTGCCTGCTGCAGGCCATGGGGTCTAAAGTTGGGCAGAGGAGATCCAGCACACCGAGACCTATTCCCACACCAGCTCCTCGGAGCTTTGCCTGCCCACCAACTGTCCTTGAGTCCTGTTGGCAGCCCCCCGGCTCTAACCTGTGGCCTCCATGGCCCTGGGAGGTAGGGAATCTTGTAACCCTGACTTTGGTGTGCAACTTCACCAAGAGAGGAGGGTGCAGGTAGAGTGCGGTCTGTACTTGGTTGGCACCTACTGAGTGCCAGGCCCTCCACACACTGCCTGGGCACTTCCATCCCCACAGCAATCTGGAGGCTGTAAGGTACAGTGAGGCCCTGAGTGGGCATAGGTGGCACTGAGCTCCATCACTTGGGAACCACCAGGCCCCCGGAACTAGTCTTCTCTTGGACCCCAGCACCCGTCCATCCCTTCCAGGTCTCCATCTGCAGGTGAGGGAGGCCTGACTTCCAGCCCAGTCTTCTCCCCTCAGGCCCTCCCTGTGAGGGGGAATGGGCAGCTGGGGCTGGCAGTCTGTTCTGGATGTGAGAACTCTAAGGAAGTAGCTCCTCAAGGTGTGGACAACCCCAGGTAACAGATGTAGGAACCTTGACCCAAATCCAAACCCTAATCCTGATTTTTGCTGTCCCCACCAGGTTTTAATCCTGACCCTGCCCAGGGTTTTAAGGACTGACCCAAATCCTGAACCCAGAGGAAGGACTTGTGGTCTACCCTCCCTGCCCCACTTGCCCTGAAGCCTCTGCCAGCAGCCCCTGAGCAGCTGCTACCCCTTCCCTCAGCAGGAAGTGTGGAAGGGCGCCTCGACGTCCCGAGGAGGGCCCTGTCCTAGGTAGCAGAGTTGGGGGCTGTAACGGTGCCATCCACATGGATATCACAGTCATGCCTGGCCCAGGGTTTCACGTTGGCGGAGATTCTCACAGTAGAATCCATGGCTCTGTGGGCATGACTGACAAATGGGCCATGATGGGGTGGGGCCCCCTGCCTTGTGCCAGGTGCGCAGAGCCCAAGCCCTCCTGGGTGGCTTGAATCTGAAACCCACTCATGACGACCCTGCAACAAGGGACGTCTTCATGCACAGAGGGTCAGACCTGGCTGCCCTGGTGTGCAGTGGGCCTGGGGGCTCTGGGTGCCCTTACATGCCTCCCCAGATGCTGCAGAGAACTTGGAGCTGGGGCTGCACTTGAAACTCTCCCTGCCCTGCTGGTGGACCCGGTTAAACTGCCTGTGCAAAGCTGGGCACTGGACCTTCCCTCACCCCCACAGGGCAGCTGTGCCTTGCCCACCTGGGTGCTCTCAGGATTCCCCAGGACCACCTCCACCCCAGGTATATGCAGGAAGTGGGCTGAGGGGGCTCTGAGTGCCGTCCAGCCCAGCTGCTTGACCTTGGGCCAAGCTGCCCTCCTCTGGACCTGGGCTGCCGGCTTGAGGTTGTTGAGATTGTTGCGGGCGGGGCTGCTGGTGCTCAGGAGCATGACCTTGGTGGTCAAGGCAGCAGAGCACCCTGGATTCAAGTCCCAGACCTGGCACTCTCACTGTGAGCATCAAGTGACCAGGTTCACCTGCTGGAAAGAGTCAAGACAGCTTTCCAGATGGTCCCAGACAAAAGGATCCAATGTGGATGTTAGACACTGAACCCTTTTGCCACTGGTCCCTCAGGCCTTGGTTTTCCCCAATCAGGGTGCCCTTGACCACCACCCACCAGGCACCCATGTCCTAGGGTTCCCTGGATCTGTGTGGATGCAGGGCAGGCCCTGCTCCATTCATCAAAGTTTTGACCTCTGGGCATCTCTCTGTGCCCTTCCGTGGAGTGGGGACAGCAGTGTGCCAAGGGGTGCATCCAGATCCTTCCACCCACAGAACCGGTGTTGGAGGAACTGGACCTTCCCACCTGCCAGGTATCCCAAGCGCTCCAGGATCATAGTTTTAGAAAGAAGTGACACCTGAGACTCAGCCAGAACACCACCCACCCAGTACTTCCTGGTTTTGCAGGGCTCAGGGTGTCCAGCACCGGTGCCCTTTCCGGTAAAGAGTGGCTCGGCGAAGCCCAGAGCACGTGTCCTTCGGGGTGGGCTCCGAGCTCTCCACACCCCATATCTGCAGCCTCTGTGCACCCAAACTCTGCCTAGAGCCACCAGCTCGTACTCCGCCGCCCTTGCCCTGGGGGACGCCCTGGGGAACACCCTGCGTGCCCTCGAGCCCGCTGTCCCTGAGCGTCCGGCGGCCTTTCTCAGCTCGGAGACCCCTGTGCTCTGCGCTCCTCACCCTGTTCCCCTCCCGCGCACCCCGCACGCGTGCCCCCATCCCTGCACTGCCGCATTCCCCGGCCACCCCGCCGCCCCTCCTGCTGTCACCGCCCCACTCCGCCCCCGTCACCGCCCCGCCCCCGCCCCTCCCCTCCGCCGGGGCGGCTCCGCGGCCATGTGACCCTGCGGCCCTGGGACGCGACGGGACGCGCTGGGACGCGCTCCGGGGGTCGCGGGCACGGCCCGGACGGGGGCGACATGGAGCGGAGGTGGGTCTTCGTGCTGCTCGACGTGCTGTGCGTGTTGGTC